GCTGGGGGACTGAACCGCGGTCCCTGATGCTTTGCCAAGCTTGTTCCAAGTAGGTGCCTTAGACCACTGAGCCATCTCTCCAGCCCCGCAGGTTTCTTTTAGACAGATATCCCTAATGCATTAGAGGAACTGTAAAAATCTGCCATGGAAGGAACAATGATCCATAGTCAAAAAAGTTACTGAATGTCAAATGTCTTAGCCATAACATGGAACAGGTATTTTCCATCAAGTATTGGTATGTTAAACTTTAAATCCCTACAGAATGTGAAGGAAAAAAAAGAGAAAAAAATTAAAAAAAAATTTAAACAAATAGGAATAGACAATTCCTATATATTGTTACACAGAAATTTAGAAATCTAACCATATACAGCATTGTAGTAGGACAGTTATATGACTTTTTTTTCCCTTGTGTCTTGTTCTCAGTGAGGTTAAGCTCAACTGCCTATGTTATAGGGTAATAATATCATTAAGCTTCTCTTCTGGAGGGTTAACAACCTAAGTTTGCAGACCAAAAATTAGAGAAAAAGAAGGGCTCCTAGGACAGCCAACATTTTGGCTCTAGCCTTGCAAGGTCAGTGAGGACTCAGGACATAGGAGAACCTGTACTGTAATATTCTGTAACTCAGTTGTGTCCCAGAGTTACTGATCAATGAGATTATGGGGTCACAGAGAAAAGTGATCAATGATATAGAGTGTGCATAAGTACAGTCATATGGAGAGAAAACATTCTCTCAGGCTTTCACAGAGAGCCAATTGGTCAATCAATGACTGTGACTCATTCACATGGCTGTCACTGACAAAGGATCTACAAACCGTGGTACAGGGTTTTAGGGTAAGTCCTGAAGGGGATTTGATTGACCTTGTCAGATACAAAAGCTACATTTCTTGTTACATAGAACTTGCTTTATCTTGGTCTTAACCATCCAGGAGAAAAGTATAAAAATGAGGTATAAAAAGTAAAGCCATATTAATATGCTGATCTGTAAAAAGGCTCAAGTCAGCAACTTCTGACATTGCCAGTCATGCAGATAACCCACTACTATTATGGACTACTGGACTATTTTGGATTATTTTGCTGAATTCATGTGCCTACAATATTTACATGGCAAGGAAATACCCATCTCTGACAAAACAAAAGAAGGGTATACAAATGAAGGACTATTTTGTATCTGTATATACAGAATAGTTAGGATAGCTATGCAGCTACTTTCTCTTAGTTCAATGAGAAGAAAAATTTGTACTAATAGCGTTTGGACAGGATATCTTGTCCTACTAATGTGTTTTGAAATTGTGTCATTGCTATTTGTTTCTCAATAAAATTAAGAAAAAAAGTTACTGCAGTTTCAACAGAAAATGTTTCTGAGTTTTTTTATTTTTATTTTTTTTTAAAGAATCGTTCATTAGATGTTGTTCTCCTTCTGTGTTTTATCAATTGTGGTTTGCAGGCTCCCACATGAGCAGTACATTAAGGACGGTTCACAGGTACAATGGAGGTGACCCTGGAGGATGATCAGTGCTACTATTTTGTGGTGTCTGTGGCAATGTGTTGCAGTCTATCATCAGAGTTACTGTGTGAAAAGATCTGCATGTACATTGGTCTAGTGACCAAGACATGCAGTTAATGTTTGAAAGAGTGATGCACAGTTGAGCTTTTTATGAAAAGAGACAAAATATATGAGCTTGTGTATCTGATTATTTAAAAATATCTCATTGTTTAGGAGACAGTGACCTTTGAGGATGTAGCTGTGAACTTCACCTCAGCAGAGTGGGATTTGCTGAATCCAGCGCAAAAGAAGCTCTACAGAGATGTGATGTGGGAAACACTTATGAATATTAAAGGTCTAGGTAAGGATGATGCCAGTTTCTTACTTGTACAATCGTAAAGCCTTAATTATTGCTCACTAATTTAGTTTAATGAAGTTGAATGTCATGATATTTTGAGATATATCTCAGACCTGGTTACATTATACCATGATTATAACAGGAATCTATGATGTTTTTATAATGTCATATTGATTTTGTATATCTATGACAAACAGGAAGAACATTGGCTACAAAACGAATGGGAGAAGTGGACAAAAACTGCTCAGGAAATCTAAGGTAATTTTCACTTACAATAAAAAAGGACTATTTTTCCAGAGTAAGTGTATTAGCAAAAAGTATTACAACCCATTAAACTGAAGAAATGAGACCATGTTTCAATTTATTTAACCCCACATAACTATTTAGGGAAGCATTTTGATGTTGTATTATCTGTCAATCTACAGAAAAATATTGGAGCATGGGAAACAGCGGCTGTAATAATTCTCTGCAACAAATAACAACATCTGCTATATAACTGTAAAAATTTCCTTAATGATCAACATCATGAAAGTGTATGAGATTGCATTTAATGTATTTAATTATTGTATATAGGCATATATAAAATGAATAAATTTGAATTTTGACAGAAATTCATCTTCAAAATATCCACATATATTACATATATATGTAATATAAAATGACTATGAGACATTCATGAGCTAGAAATTTTTTTTTTTTTTTTTGGTGGAACTGGGGATTGAACTGAAACCCTTGCGCTGGCCAGGCAAGCACTTATTCCACTGAGCTATTTCCCCAGTCCCGAAAATTTCTCACAAGGAATAGTACTCAAAATGAAAATAAGGGGCCAGTGAGATGGCTCAGTGGTCTAAAGTGCCTGCTGAGGCAAGCTTAGACAGGTGCAGGGGACTGCGGATCCATCCCTGGCGTCACGTACCACACCAGCCCCACCCTCAGGGTGTGCTGAGCTGGCAAAAAAAAAAGAAAAAAAAAAAAGAAAATGAATAATACTGTTATCTTAGTAAGCACTTTGAAATCATCCTCCAGAATATTGAGCTGTTTATGTTAAACATCTTGAATTTACTCTCATACGTTTTTGGTGGGAATATAAAATAGAAACCTAGTAATAATCAGTATACAGAGGTCTCTCCATTTTACCCAGGTGACCCTCCATGAATATATCATTTTATTTTGCTTTATTTTGTTTCATTTTACCTTTGAGCCAGGGGCTCACACTGTAATTCAGGTTGGGCTTGAATTTACTCCAGCCCCGGCTGGCCTCTAACCCAGAGCAGTCCTCCTAGTGGCTTAATCCACCAGAGTGTTGAGGTCCTAGGCGTGTGCCACTGTGCTCTGCAATTATTTCTGTATTTTCTGAAGTACATTAAATTCATCCAGTTTTAGTGATCTATGCAGTGTGTTGTTCGAAGAACATGAATAGATATTCACAGTATCTAAGTTCTGCACACAATTCCCAATAGCTCAGCTCTGAAAAGAGCTCAGATGTCATCACTGGATACCTGGATAACGAAAATGTGGAGTCAGCTTAGAATAATGGTACGTTCTTGTAAAGGCAGCATTCTGGGAATCTGAGTAAGCAGGATGACACCTTGAAGTTCAGCCTGAGAAAGTTAATAAGCAATCAGAGTCTTATTCAAAATAAGAAATAATAAATCTGCAAATGTAATTCTGTGCTAAAATGTGAATTTAATTCTCTTCTCTGAAAAATATACTATATAATGCTGGCCAAATAGCTCAGTGGATTAAGATACCTGCAAGCAGTTGCAGGGGCCAGGGGTTCCATCCTTGGGCCTGCTGTGCCAGCCCCACCCCCCTGGCACACTGAGATGGCAGTTGAGACTGGGTGTGGTGGCACGTGCCTGTAATCCTAGCACTTGGGAGGCTGTAAATTGGAGACTCACTATGATTCCAATCTAGTAGCTAGACTCTGATCACCCTGTAGACCCTTCCCAAAGATACAAAAAAAAAAAAAAAAGGAAAAAAAGTGCTATATAAAGAACATTGATATCATCTGTGAAAAACCAAAATTAGTGGGATTTCATCCCATAATGATGAGTGAAATAAGTTAGACCCAAAGATGGAAATATAATAGGTTACTCCTAAATGAGAAGGCAAAAGTATATTTAGGGAATAAAAGTAAGGAGGGGAGAGAGAAAACAGACATCATATCTGTTTTCTTTTTTTTTTTTTTTGGTGGAACCAGGGATTGAACTCAGGCCCTTGCACTTGCCAGGCAAGCACTTATTCTACTGAGCCATCTCCCCGGCCTCTCATATCTGTTTAAAGATGATCAGGTAAAATAAATAAATAAGGGGGCCAGGGAGATGGCTCAGTGGAACAAGCGCTTCCCTGGCAAGCACCAGGGCCTGAGTTCAATCCCTGGTTCCACAAAAAAAAAAAAAAAAAAAATGAAGTGATGGGGAGGAGACCTAAAAATCATCAGTATCTGATACACATATGTACACATCAGCTAAAATGAAACTTTATATTATATCTTGTAAACATATGCCAATTTAAATTTCTCAAATCAAAAGCATCATTTATTTTTCCTGGAATAGTAGTTTTGAAGGTATCTTCCAGTTCAATAAGTCGATTCATCATCAAAATATCTTAGCAGAAGGGTGAGAGAAATAGCTTTGCGGACTAAGAACCTTATTAGCAAGTTCAGGGACTGGGGTTCAATGGCACCACATGCTGTGCTGGCCTTGCCCCCGGCCACCGAGTCTAGGTGCGGTGGCTCATACCTGTAGTCTCAGTGCTGGGGAAGCTGAAAACAGAAAGGTCAGTATGAGTTGGAGCTGCATAGTGAGACCTTGTACCAAACACATTAAAAAAAGAAAGTCAGCAGGCATCAAACAAAATTTGTCCTCATAATGACAATAGTTAATATTGAGACATTTTCATTGTGATTGATATTTTTCTTTTTTCTTTATAGATATGATACAGAGAATTCTTTCAGATTTGAAGAGAAGCTATATAAATGTAAGGAAGATGGAAAAACCTGCAGAGATTTCCAGTCCATTCAGAAGCCTAACAAGAGAAAGACTGGAGAGAATCCCTTTCAGAATGGACAGTGTAAAGACACCAACTCTGCTCTTAGTGAACAAACTCTAGGTATTGTAGGTATGAATAGTGGGAAAGCCTCCACAACAACCAGAAGACGTGCTGAAGAAAAGCCCCATGTAACTAAGAAATGTGTAAAAGAATTAGCAGTTAGTAACTCCTTTTCAAAATGTAGAAAAAAACAGACTGGGAAAGTATCTGATGTATATAAGCAAGGCAGAAATGAATTTCCTAGTGAGTCTTCTTTAAGTAGGCATGCAACATCCTACATGGGAAAGAAAACGTATGTATGTAAACAATGTGGGAAAGCATTTAGCAGGTGTAATGTCTGTAAAAATCATGAAAGAACACACACTGGGGAGAAACCCTATGTATGTAAGCAGTGTGGGAAAGCATTCAGACAAAATAGTAGCCTTCGAATACATGAACGAATTCACACTGGGGAGAAACCCTATGTATGTAAGCAATGTGGGAAAGCATTCATTGCACACAGTGCATGTCAAAGACATGCAAGAATTCATACTGGGGAGAAACCCTATGTATGCAAGCAATGTGGGAAAGCATTCAAAAGAAATGGTCACCTTGTAGTACATGCAAGAATTCACACTGGGGAGAAACCCTATGTATGTAAGCAATGTGGGAAAGAATTCAGTGCACCCAGGCAATGTCAAATTCATCAAAGAATTCATACTGGGGAGAAGCCCTATGTATGTAAGCAGTGTGGGAAGACTTTCAACCAAAATGGTAATCTTGCATTACATGAAAGAATTCACACTGGGGAGAAACCTTATGTATGTAAGCAATGTAGAAAAGCATTCAACAGACATAGTCACTGTCAACGTCATGAAAGAACTCACAGCGATGAGAAACACCTCATGTAAGCATTGTGATAAATCTCTCCACCACCAGAGTGATTCTCACAAATATGAAAGAATTCAAGAGGTGGGCATCGTGGTGCATGCCTTTAATCCCAGCACTCATGAGGCTGAAGCAGGAGGATCACTGTGAATTTGAGGCCAGTCGGAATTTTGCCTAGTGAAACCCTGACTCAAAGAAAAAGAATTTGCCTTGGGAAGTAACCCAATTCATTTGAACCATGGGAAAAATAATTCAGTGAACAAAAATGAGATCAGATAGAGGAAAAAATGCACATACAAGAAAGGTCCTATGTGTGTATGCAGTGGGGAAAATATTTGCTGCAAAACTTTCATTTTATATATTTTAAATATTTATTTTATATTTTTTTATTTAATGTATTTGGTTGTTGCAGGGTCTCTCTCACCACACAGCTTGGACTTGTGGTGATCCTCCTGCTTTCAGCCTCCCCAGCACTAGGATTACAGGAATATGCCACCACACCTGGACTCTGGCCACTTCAGGCTGCCCTGGGCTGTGCGGCACATGGGGATCGAACCAAGGTTCCTATGCTGAGCTTGCCTAAGCAGGCACTTTAGTCTGCTGAGCTACCTTGCTGGCCCAAAAAACTTTCATTTAAAAAATGAAAACTCCCCTCATAATGGGGAGTAAATGCGTATCAAAATGTGGGAAAAAATTTGGCAGATGGAAATGCTAACCTTCAGAATAGTGTCACCATTGTAGCCAAAGCCTACGCATTCAATGTGGAAAAGTATTCAGTGTACATGGAAATTGTCAATTACATGAAAGACTATTTTGTAAATACTTTTTTTTTTTTTTTTTGTATGGGTCTGGGAAAA